GACTGCCTCGTCCCACTGCTTATTGGTGATGAAGAGAGGATAGTTTCCCAGAAGCTGTTTACTGCCCTATTTAGACAGATATTAAGAGATTATAGATTGTAGAGTGGAAGAAATCTTTAATGCACTTTAATGCATCAAAATTTAAACAGACGCTGCACTGAATATTGTACCAGAAAACAGGCAAATTCAATATGGAGAACTGAAACTTTACTGGGATGCTAAAAGATTGTGTTGCTTTTAGTTTTACGTAACAGTTCTTCAAAGTGATATTTTCATAACCTCAGATTAGACTTCAATTTGACTGACAGTTTCAGTTCTTTTTCCACTGAAAATAGTTTCTTGCGTAACCTGTGTCTCTGTGGTTTTCATGACTATTTTAACATCACTGAACGGTCTTTTGTCAGGCTCACCTCGGTAAGCTGCTCTTCAGGCTGGGGCTGCACAAATTGGTTGTAGTGCTGAAGAACAGTCTTAAAAAAGTCCAGAACATTCTGGCAAGGAGCTGTTAAAGGCAAAACCAGGAAAACTTGTTGGCTGATGAACTTTTAGTTTTATTTAAACCAACCAAGCTGTTGTACATAAACAAAATACAATGTACTGTTAAGAGTGCACAGAGTATTTTTTTCCAATTAAAATTTTATACATTGTGAATGAATGTATACTACTCATTTTGATATTCTCTGTGGCCCAGAGAAAGCTATTGTAATCTTTAATATTTACTATTGTTTCCCCTCTATAGTGGCAAATACAAGATCAGCCAAATGTCTCGATAACCCTTTTTGGACACTTTCAGTTGTGGAATAAATTAATCATAGCTCACAAATACACTGTGAAAAGGGAATTTTCACAAAGCCTTCCAAAACTGAAACTTTCAATAATTTCCACTGCAAAAGTCAGACATGTGATCAGCTAAGGACAAAAAAAAGACTATACAATAATAATATTCAAAAATTATATATTTTATTTTATTATATAAATTATAAAAAATAAACATTTAAAAAGACAAGTATGTGTTGCAATAATATTATACTGTATAATATAGTATTCAATAATTATTTTATTTTACAGAACAACAGTAAAATTACAGTACTAATATTTGCCTTAATTTCTCTGCTTTCAAACATTACACTACAGACCTTTATTTTGGTGGCAAACAGCCGGGAGACTTTAGAATTTCTCTTTTGTTGACAACAGATTTTTAAACGATTCTCTTTACAAATTTGTGTAATGAGAATTTTCTTTTAATTACACTGTGCACCTTTAAAAGCTTAGGATAGTAATAATGATTCTGTGGGGGAAAAAAAAAAATCTTACAGTGGATTATGCGTCTAATATCAAGACAGAAATAAAACCAAATTATCAAATTTCATCAAGTTTAATACCTGGTATATTGTCCAGTTTTTGTCTCAGTTCCTCATTTTCCTGCTGTAGACTAAGAACTTCCTGTTCCAGCTCCATACAGCGTGGACAACAACCTTCCTCCTCATCTTCCTCAGGCAGTGTGGACGAGGGGTGTCCGTATGATTCAGACGGTGCTGGTGAAGCCCAGCCACCTAAGATCTGCCTCGGCGACCCTGATGCTGCCGGTTCAGCCTCTACCGGGCGACTCCGTTCCCTGTCTGATGACTGGGGTCCAGAGAGCAGGTAGTTCTGAAGCGACTCTGTGAAAATCTGGAGGAAAGCGGAAGTCTGCTGCTGGCTCCAGTGGTTGCCCCGTTGGCTCTCCTCACCTGTGTTCTCCAGGGATGAGTCCTCTGATCTGGGCTTAGAACTGAGCCTCTCTCCTGGAGACAGGCAGCTGTCCTCCTGTTTTATAAGAGAGGAGATGGAAGAGGATGGAGGGACGAGAGAAG